TCGAGGGGTAACAATCTGCTTTATTAACCTCTCAGATATGTGTTATTTAACTTATCATAAAAAATGTTCTGTCATTACTGTCTATTAAATTTCAAATTCAAAGCAATAAAATATGACGTCGTGTACATTACAACCATCCGTATTTAATAAAGCGCACACTTGATCAAGCATCTCCGTGAAGGGTAATAGAGTATTTACCATAGGATAGAGTAAATTGTCTCCCTCGTATTAACCAATCAAAATCTGGCATTTTGACATGAAGTATAATAAAAAGAGTTATCGCCCTTAAAATGTTTTTTTTTAACATTTTTTGTGAAAGTCTAATTACTTTTTCAAAAATCTACTTCTCTGAAACTACTTGGCCAAATACTTAAAAACTTTAATTGAATGTTCCTTAGGGTATCTAGTTTATAGATTGTATTCGGGGATTTGATCCATTCAAAATATTGGCGGCAATTTCTAAAAATAGAACATAGGGGTCAATTGAAGTTTTTGGCTTTCATTTCAAAAACTAAAGCAGTTAGAGCAAAACTGACATAGGTGAAAGTGTTAAACAGGTTTAGATCTACCTGTCAAGAAATCTTCAGACCAATAGGACAACTTATTGTTAGGTTACTGTCCAGAAATAATTATTTTTTTGGAAATTTTACAGTTTTGGGTTATGTATTATCTTTAATATTATTATAGAAAGAGAGAAAGTGTAAATGACAAAATTGTTCAGCAAAGTAAGATCTACAAATAAGTCAAATGCCTGAAACTGAAATTACAGGTGAGCGATATCAGGCTCTCATGGGCGTCTTGTTTGTTAAGGGACTTTCCGTTTTGAAGTTTCCTTGGAGTTCGGTATGTTTGTTATTTTACTTTTTAGTACTCGTTTGTTAGTTATCCTCTGAGCTGGCCTTACAAATTTTGCTTTGAGTAGCCCAAACGGTACCATTTTAGGGAAGGGATATTCTTTATGGTTTACTCAAATTGCTCTCCATTTTTTAGTTAAATGTTTTTACCTTAGGTGCAACAGTCATGAAATATTTGTTTACATATTATTGCTAAAGTTATCCTTCTTAACATTGCTGACTTGAATTGGCCATACTTAGTTCTTGAAAACAATACTCAAATATTTATTTTACTGCATGTGAAAATAGAGAGTGTTGTGTATAAATATTAAAAGTACATTAATGCCATTTGATATGACAAAATATTTACTTTCTCTTGTTCAAACAAATAATATGAGACCATTCTTTTTTTAAAGTCCAGTGTGAACAAAAATTATGAAACGACGTCGATGTTTTACATGTGAATGGACAAAATACTGTCCTCATCGAACAGAAAAGGAGAACCAAGAATTGTTCGTTCGTTGAATCTAAAACAATGGTTGATTGGTGTTCTTGACCAACCGAATAAAAAGTCATGGACTGTTATCAATCGATTAAGTTATTGGTTTTCATGTTTTCATGTATCAAGACTACAAGCTCGGGCTACAAGCAAGTATTTATTGTCCCATTTGATACAATGTCTACGTTATGTTTGATTGATTGATGTTTGTTTATTGTCCTGTGGAAAAAACTGCATATTCAAGATCAAAACAAATTAACATACAAGTAGGTCAGAGACATGAACTTAAATGTACCTTGTATTCAAAATTCCACGTGGGATTGCGCAACTTATGTTTATAGGGGAAAACGACTGGACAGTTTATTACAACGAGAAGAAAGCAACTGGATATTCAAACTCAATATTCGAAGAAAAACTGACAACGCCTTGTTAAAATCGAGAAACCGACGAATAGACAATAGAAATTCACAGCATCGAAAATTAAAGACTGACACAAACACCACCAAACACCTGGATGGTCTCATTTGTAGTCAGATCCTACTTTACATGTAACACCCGTCGTGTTGTTCACGTAAACGAAATCACAAATTCGGTGATAAGTCTAATTCGGTAATGTCACACACGAGGAAATATAAAGGAGGACGGGATTGAGGTTACGGCAATAGGGAACACATCCGGTGTCATCTGTCAAACAGATATTCCATAAAGGTCATCTAACTCGTGATGGCGTCCATTACGTTTTCGAATGGGTGACTTCTACTTTACCTTTTTGAACCCTTGATTTAATAGCTTCCTTGTAAGCAGCTTAGTTTTTCTACAAACTTTGTCATCTTCTTAATTTTATAGTGTCTAAAGGTCCGACAAAAACGCTTGATCAGTAGCGGCAATTCAAACCCTTTACCTTGATGTCCTATTTTATTTTGATTGAAAAAATTCTCATATTTTTCTTACCCACGGTTCAACGGTAAATAATTGATTGATATGGGTGTTCCTATGGTTTTCTGTCGCTCCAAATTAAAAAAAAACTGTGTCAATATCGTTTTTGCGACAAGAATCGTTAGATATAAATTACCTATGAGATAAACTTAAAGTTTGTAGAGGCCACATTTCGAATGATATCAATATCTCACACCATATATTTCACAACCTCAAAGGTCTCCCCTTCTTTACTGATCATTATAATGCATTTTATGTTGAAAATCTACAAGATGTAGGTCTTATTACAGGTATCACAAGAACTTTACATTATAAATGACCCATACACATGAGACCATTGTAAGATGAACCATGTCAGTGACACATTTTATTCATTACATAAACGGAATACAGTTGAGCTATTGCTTATTGTATCTAAGTAACGAATTCATACACAAAAACTTAACATTGACAAATGAACCATGAGTTCAAGGTCAGATGACCCTTGTAGAACAATTATGAACATCTTACAATCCTTCCATAGATAAAATAATGGTGAATTTTGCATAGAGTTTCTGAGAAACGGATCTAACCACAGAAACTTAACGTTGAACAATAAATAATTAAAATGAAGTCAAAAGTCAGATTAATCGTACCAGACGTACAAGTACATACACCTTGCAATCATTCAAACCACAACATATAGTTGACCAATTGCTATTAGAATCTCAGAAATAGACTTAACGTGGACCAATTAACCATCAAAATGAGTTAAATGACATGTGAACCCTGCCAACCAGACATGTACACCTTACAATCATTCCTTGCAATTGACCTATTGCTTATTGTATCTCAGAAAAGAACTTAACCATGAAAACTTAACGTTAATTGATTCTATTTACCAAATATAGCTGCCTATTACTATTTTATTGGTCCAAGTTTGTTCTCTATAGAGTTGATCCTATAACCTACCTAAATGTGGTTCTCAGTCCAGGAAGTTACAAATCAAAAGTAATTAATATAATTATGTATGACAAAAATTAGCAGACTTATAGCTACATATATAATAAACTTGTCAAAATGCACATTATATACTACTTTATGACAAGTTAATAATGAGTGAAGTCTTCAACTTGTTGATGATCATAGTCAAATAGGTTTATATTAACTCTTAATATCAATCTTGCACTGATATTCGTATAGAAATATACTCAGTTGTAAGTCCGAACAGTATTTTCTAACAAATGTTTGAAGTAACAACCGAAACTTTGAATGTGGAATTACTACTCATGCTCTTACAGGCTAACTGACAAACCACAATGTATGAAGCCAACTTTGAAGTCTTGAGTTTTTCTTTGAAAAAAAAACAAAAAACCCAACTAGAACCCTTCACCTGGAAAACTATACGACATTTAAATCATTGACAACTGTGACAACCATTGCACACTTTTAAATATTGTGACCAGGTTTGATCCATATTTTTGACAAAAAGGACATAAAAGGGTAAAATCATTATTGCAGGGCAATAGCTCCTATAATGAGTTTTATTCAAGATTTCACTCTTGGTTTGTTTGTAAATTGTATCTAGCTGCTGTTAAGATTATTCTCTATTATAATTTTCAAGATTATAACCAAAAACGAAAATAAATAAGGTAAACAATTACCATTTAAGGGCAATAACTCTTATAAAGTTTGACGGTTTCTGTTGTGAATTTTTTTTGTAGATCTTGTCCTGCTGGTCAATTGTGTCAAGTTTCTCTCTGTCTAAGATAGTTTTCAAGATAATAGCCAAAAACTTATAAATTTGCTTATAAGTAGCTGCACCAAGAACTCCTGATACGCCCATTTTATGCATATTGAAATTGTTGCAAGAATAAATTGGGATATTAATAAGGCATTTATTCAGAACCAAATAAAATGACTCTGAAGAAAAACATGCATGATGATACCCTTAGGCTTATAAATATTGTGCCAAACCTGACTGTTAAAAGTCCCATAACTCTGGAATGACAAACCAGGAAATTTTCAAAATCAAATTGACTCTACATTCACCAATCCCTACAAAAGTTTAAAGTTTGTAGTTATTTTATTCAAGCAAACTAGACTTACTTACTTACTAGAGCTAGTTCATAACATTTAAACAATGTTTTTATTTATCTAAAGGCCAAAGTCCTAATGTTGTGTTAAATTTAAACACAAATTGGTTTAAGCAAACTTAAATTATCATATGAAGTGTTGAGAGACGGATAAATTGACAGATGGAAGAATAGACAATGGTATACCATAAATCATTCCTTCTTAGTGGGATGTGTAAAAAATTGACATTATAGGGACAATCACTAAAAAATGGGTTATTTTATTTTTCTCAAAATGTTTGGTTACCGGTAGACAGAACTTCACAGACTAATAATTTTACCCCTTATTTACTCTGATTTATTTTTGAGTTATAAGTCAAAAATTGCAGTTTTAGACCTATGTTCTATTTTTACAGCTGGAGCACATGTTTTTTGTTGGATTGAAACAAAATTAGGATCGTTTGTAAAGGACATGCAATGTAGCATCACTCCAAGTTTCAAAACCTTTGGTTTTGTGGTTTCAGAGTTTTTTTTAATTTCAACTGATAACTACAAACACCAAGTGATTATATAAGCTTTCATGTGCTAAAAAACATCAACACAATATTCTTAATGTGAAAAGAAAGGATTGACCTACCAGAGTCTCCTCCCCCCAAAAAAAAAATAATTTGCAACAAATAACACTTTTTAAATGACTTTTATTCCCTCATTTCATAATACTTTCACAAACACATTCATCCAACATTTTCACATAAAATATATTAGGAAATTAAGATTCACACATAATTCTGTAAAAAATGACATACATGTGTGTTACACACTGAAATCGAAATACATATGTGTTACACACTGAAATAGACATACATGTGTGTTACACACTGAAATGAGAATCACACATTTACATTTGTATTGTGGAATGATAGAGAAGTTGGATAATTATTGTTTTTAAAAGTAATTTCATTATATGTATAAACAGTGGGTGCTGTATCTCTATTGTCTTTTCTCCTAAGTTTCCTGAACCAGTGTTTAAGCAGAATGCAATAAACTTATAAATTAAGCTAACTCTTTAGTGTAAATGTGTCATATGAAAAAACATTCAGTTAGAAAGTAACTAATTTTCAATTATATATCTCAAATCTTAAAACAAATTCTATTACATCTACAAAGTTTAAAGTAAAGAAAAATTAAGTTATGACTAAATAACAGTCCTGTCTCCCTGTTTACTTAAAATATGAACACTAAAAGTTATGGACAGGTCAAAAAACACAATTTTGTCTTTAAATGCAGCAAAATGTAGATCTATGTACTAGTTAAAATACAAAAAAAGAATATATTCACATAAGAACTTTGGATTTATTCATTTAAATCTTTTGTTATTAAATTAACAAACTAAGACATTTTAACCATAACCAAGAAAAGTTCAATGCCTTTAAATAAAGCTAGTAAAGTTTACATTCCGAAGGTAAAAAAATCTATTTAACAACATAAAATTTCAGTCAACAATAAAAAATGTTCCATATAGTTTTGTTAAAGCTAATTCTATGTTTATATTATGCTTTAGATTAAATTGAATTTAAAGATTTGGAATCCATTTTATTCTGAAAGTATGAAAACATTTTATGGAGCTTTCAAACAGTCTTAATTTTTTTTAACCAAAAGAATACCAAAATATCTCCCCATCTATAGAAGTATGAGAGACAAATTTGGGAAACTTTATTGTATATATCAAACAAAAACATAATATTTAGATCTTATTATTATCATCAAGAATCGTATCTATTTTAATGATTGAGATTGTTGCTTTGGGTCTATATAATGATATTTATTGAAGCTCTTACATCGCTCACTCTAACATATATCTGACTTCTTTACTTACAATCTCACTATTGAATATAGATTATATTACAACTTTAAGGAGTCATACTCAGTTTCCATTGATGTCAAATTTACTTAAAATGAAACAACAGTGGTTTGCTTTTTATATAACATTTCCAAACCGTTCTTTCACAAAATATACATCAAAATCTTTTAATCCATATTATATCTTTAACAATAATCAAATTTACAAAACTATAAACTTTCACCTCCAATATCTATTTACAACCACAAACAATTGGACAACACTCACAAATGGTGATCATAGAATTTCATATTCATCAATTCTATATAAAATATGATTGGTTGATGATTACTTATTATTCAAAATTCATCCTTATAATGCCATGCAAATTTTAAAAAAGGTACCCAGCAATTAGGTTAACAAAATAGTTTTTTTTAATGTCACACTGCCTTATAAATTTTATGACAGAAAAGAGTAATTACCCTTACTTGTGGTAAAGAGTTATTTCCCCTTCCATATTAGTGAAACCTAACTCTTTATTATTACCAACTATATACCTTATTTGCAAACCTGTACCTTTAACAATTTCAATAAAAATTCAAAACAGCAAATCAGAATGTGGTATATTTTTTTAAAATATTTTTTAGCCATTTCTTTTTCCTGTACATTAATTCTTATAAAATATATCAACTCAAATAAGATTAGGAACCTCTAAATATAAGCATACAACTTCCTATTTATTCACCCACATTCTTGAAGAGAACAGTGTTTTAAGTCAGTAACAATGCATCAATGTTTAATACAAAGTAGATTATGCATAATCTATTTTTGGGACTCGTAAGAAAATGTATATACCAATAAACAAAATAAAATTTTCTTTATCTCATGTACCATGATCTTTTCTTCTTAAAACTATACACATTCATATATTTAAACTGAAAGAAAGGTAAAACATGCCACATTTATTTATACTGAAAGTGAGATCAAACATGCCACATTTATTTCATTTATGAAAACTCTTATCAATGCATTGCACATAATGTTATAAGATAGGCTTTCGTATTTATGTAAAATGGATACTTAGATATAAACAAAAAGGAAATGTGGTTTGATTGCCCTTTTAAACAATTGGAGCATGCTTGAAATTTCCATATATAAAAAAAATTGCTTTGGTATTATCAGGATTATCAAAATAATGGATGAAATCAATTTGGTATGACAGTTCAGAATAAATAACATGGAGAATATCCCTAGTTCTAACTACCCAATAGATGATTTTCAGTATTTATTACAGCTAAGGAAAAAATCACTACAATTTCAATACTGAAACAAATTAAATATCTTTTAACAATATAAGTATTAATATGTGTAAATTTTACTATTTGTGTGCATACATTGTATTAAGATGACGAACTCTAAAAACGGACACACCACATTAACTGCCAATAACTTAAAAAACAATAGAATCCTTATCATTACTTGTGTATCAATGGATAAGTGTATTGTGTAATTAATACTAAGGAACACATGGCTTAACTTAGACACTATGAGGATTGAAGTTTGTTTTGTAAAGGAAAACATATTAAAAAAGCTATTCCATAAAAGAAAATAACTTTGTATTTAAATAAGAATTTCTTAAGTTAAAATCATTTGTGAAATAACAAAGAAGAGGTAAATATGGTGTGTATTCAATCAAAATTAATTCACTAATATGAATGATTTTATTGAGAAATGTTAACTTGCACTTTCCACTTTACTAACGCAGTGTAATGGACAATACTGTTAATACATATAATACAAGTAATTTAGGATACATCTATTGAAAAAAAAATACAGAATAGATGTGCAATTGCTACAAACAGTACAAAAAAAAGAGGTTTCCTTTTCAATCCATTATCAAATTTGCATATATATTTTTCAACAATATAAACATACTATGTAATATTTAAAACATTATACAAGCTTATAATAGAGAAAACTAAAATTAACAAATCTTATTGAATACAGATCATGATAGCAACACATTATAAACTACTGTACATGATGGTAACACATTATCAAATTTTTTAGTATCTTTGCTATGATTTACTTTCATGATTTTATAAGATCAAGATATGTTTTCTGTAATCAATGGATTATTTTATAAACAGCTTTTTATTTTTTTTTAAAGATAACGGTTTTTTGTTTTGTACATATTATGCAATTAAACAAAAATAAGTTTAAAACTTATACAGTACCAAATATTAGAACGTTTTTTGTCTCTTAAAATCTGCTTGCAATTGGCCATTACAGAATCTTGAGAATTGTGGGTAATAATTTCAAAAATTACGACTTAACATTGTGATTGGATAACAACATCATAAACAATGGAAATTCAACCAATGATATGACTCTATTTACATTTGTGGGTATGAAAAATAAAATAACCCATAGTAATTTAGATTAAAAAAAACCTTAATGATATTAAATGTTATCATGTTATTGCTATATCTAAAGAAGGTGACATAGTCATATAATTCATTTGGACACTTAAAGCATTTAGTGTGTTATTTTGAATTTGGTACTTTACTGAATTCAAAATCAACATAAATTGATGAAAAAGGAATGGAATTATTTGTTAGTCAATCGAGAACTAATTGAAATATAAAATCTTTAATGTTATGATAGGTTAATTTGTTATTAACATTATTTCTTGTACACGCGTGATTCAATCAACCCTGAATTGGCCGTTACAGAATCTAAAGGACAATGGGTAATCTTATTGTTCGTACCCCATATGAAAATATCGTCACGTCATTGGTTTAGAACGTTTTAACTAATCGCAACATTTTGGTGTACACTTTTGAAATTATTACCCAGAATGCATTAGATTCTGAAACAGCAAATTAGAAAACATTTCATTTTTACATCAAATAATATGTAAAAATTTTTCCTTCCATTGTTCGAATGTTTAAAATTTTGTTAGTTTGGTATTTATTCTACATAAGAGACATTTTTCCTGTCAATGATTTAGAAATGTTAGGACTTTTTTCAATATATAAAGTAAATATATACTTTAGATAAATCTGATAGTAAATCTAAGATAAATATCTAATTGCACATCTAATATAAACAAAACATAATGAGGACTGTGTTCAATCAAAACATACATGTACCATGGAATGCACTTTGAAAATAGGGTGACCACCTACAGAGAACCCTCTACAGAGGCAATTTTAGAAAGTCACTTACATTTTCACTTTACAATAAAAGGATATGACACCAAACCCTAGTTGAGATTTAGAAGTGCCTTCTCTGGATCCCACATAGGTTAATATAAAACAGTCCTGAATCAGATAACTAGACGAAACCTACTTTTTACACTTATAGATAAACTATGCAAAAATAAAAAAATACAACAATAAACATTAACATTGCACAATAAATTGAAGATGCGTCACATCAGGAAATTTCGGGCATCAAAACAACATAAAAAAAAACATGATATAAAGCAATATTTCTATTTAAAAAATCGTATCAAATTATTAAAGCAATGATTTTTTTTGTGAATAATTAGTTTGAAAAATAATGCAACAGCATTTACGAACTCATTTCTGTTACATGTTAAAGTTTGCGTAGCAGAAAATATTATTCAAAACGATTTTTTTTTAATTGTACCTTTGCTCTGAAATTTCTAAAAAAAAATCACATCAGATGTTTTGTCAAAAAATGAAAGAAAAATGTTTCTTATAAAATACTGGAAAATATGATCCTGCTTCCTCATACGCAGAAACCAAGTTTTTTTCATAACTACAGGATGCATCCTTTTTTTATAAAACTAACATGACTAATGACAGAATTTAATAAATTTATCAGAATTAATAACTTAAATACATCCCAACCGACAGAAAAAGAATGATCAAAACAAAATAGATAATAACCTAATTTTGAAATCATCACAATTTACATAAACAAAACAATAATGGAAAGAATGCTCCGACTGCAACAAAAACAGGTAATAAGATACTACTTGTATCATCTGCTGCATATGGATCTTTTACTTTGGGCCCTGAGGGTTTTCTTTTCTTTGGTTTCTGTTGGTCAATTTCTTCCACTTCTTCCTCTTCATCATCAAAGTCTCTCTGTGTTTCAGTTCCAGGCAAGGGAGGTAACTTTGGAATGTCTACAATAAAAATTTAGTGATTATACAAAAAAGAAAATTACATGTCTTGTAATAAAACTAGATTCACACAATCAAATGTTTTGAAAATTTATATTCATAATTAAGACTTTTACATTGAGCAAAGTCTGCATAATTACAGAAAGAACAATAAATAAAAGTACAGAGTTCCAATGTCCCCCGCATTGCACATTTTTTATATTTGAAGGGGCATAACTCTTTTAAAAAAAAGTCGATCATCCACCATTATAGAACTTGTCCAAGATCGATATTGCTAATATTAAGCTCTTGTATAAGTTTTATAAAAATCTGGCAAGAATTGTACCCGTGAGAGCGCTAACGAGGCTATTTTCCCTTAATTTAATGTTTCCAAGGGGCATAACTCTTTTAAAAAAGTCAATCGGCCACCATTATAGAACTTGTCCAAGATATTGCTGATATTAACCTATAGTATAAGTTTTATAAAAATCTGGCAAGAATTGTAACTGTTAGAGCGCTACCGCGCCCATTTTCCATAAATTTAATATTTCCAAGGGGCATAACTCTTTTAAAAAAAGTCGATCAGCCACCATTAAAGAAATTGTCAGAGATATGGCTGATATTAACCTATAGTATAAGTTTTATAAAAATCTGGCAAGAATTGTACCTGTGAGAGCGCTAACAAGACTGGACGGACGGACACACAGACACCCAGTACCGTAAATTGGGTTATTTTGGTTGTAGTTTTATTTTGGTTTATTTGGTGCCTCCAATGAAAGTGCCAAAATTAAACACACGAAAATAATCGAAACACTAAAAATTGAAACGCCAATATTGCGTACTGGTACGACAATATCGTAATGTTAATTGTTTGGGAAAACCTTATATCTTCCGTATATTTCCTACAATTTTATACATAGCCAAATCTGCAAATAAATACCTGGTATAATTTGACAACACTATATAATTTTTACTTAATTGTCAATTTTCTCAAATTGTTAAGAAAACAAAACATGATTTTTTATTCACAAATGTCATAAATATGCCAGGCTATTGCTGATAATATGCCGTCATTGGTAATTAGAATATCAAAACTCCTTGTAATCCTTTATCTTCAATTAATTAACATGTACTGCCAGAGGCATAAGGATTCAAATTTAAATCCTTGATCGTCAATAGATTAACATGTACTGCAATAGAGAGGATTAAAATTTATTTCAAAAAAAATAAAATGCTCCGCAGGGCGCAGCTTGATACGACCGCAGAGGTCGAACCCTGAACAGTTGGGGCAAGTATGGACACAACATTCAAGCTTGATACAGCTCTGAATTTGGATTGTGATTAAATATTTGACACAGCATAGGTTTCTGACACAGAATGAATGTGGTCTAAGAACTTAAAAATTTTAAATTGGACATTCACCTATTATGGTCCAATATCCAAAATCTAAATACATGGTTAGATTCAGCATATCAAAGAACCCCAAGAATTCAATTTTTGATGAAATCAAACAAAGTTTAATTTTGGACCCTTTTGACCTCAATGTGGACAAAGTTGATAACGGGGCCCAAAAATCAAAAATCTAAATACATGGTTAGATTCAGCATATCAAAGAACCCCATATATTCAATTTTTGTTGAAATCAAACAAAGTTTAATTTTGGACCCCGATTTGGACCAACTTGAAAACTGGGCCCATAATCAAAAATCTAAATACATGTATTGATTCAGCATATCAAAGAACCCCAAGAATTCAAGAATAAAACCCCATTGAAATTTGTCAAGAAATAAGCAATTTATACGAAGTATCTTCTTTTGCACAATACTGGGCAATTGAATATTTCTTGCTATTGCGCAATACTGTACAATTGACAATTTCTTGCTATTGCCCAATATTGTGCTATTGGATATTTCTTGCTATTGCGCAATACTGTGCAATTGAAGATTTTTTGCTATTGCGCAATACTGTGCAATTGAAGATTTCTTGCTATTGTGCAATACTGTGCAATTGAAAATTTCTTGCTATTGCACAATACTTATTATATAATAATTTACACATCCTGTTTGGTGTATATCTCCTACCATATCATTATTATATGCTTTTAAATATTAATCAGAAATAACCAACTTAAAATGAAAAATTTTAAAAGAAAAAATAAAGGAAAAAAAAAAAAAAAAAGAAAAAAAAAAAATCCCCCCTCCCAAATTTTTTGAACCCCCTTATGATTCATCACCCCCAAACTCAATACCAGCCTTCCCTTTGTGGTATGGTACCTTGCAGTACAATTTCAGAGAGATCCATACACTTGAACACAAGTTATTGTCTGGAAACTAGAAAAATGCTTATTTTTGGCCCCTTTTTGGCCCCCAATTCCTAAACGTTTCGGGCAATTACCCCCAAACTCAATTCCAGCTTTCCCTTTGTGATATGGAACCTTGTAGTACAATTTCAGAAATATCCAAACACTTACACACAAGTTATTGTCATGAAACTAGAAAAATGCTTGTTTTTTGCCCCTTTTTTGGCCCCTAATTCCTAAAATATTGAGGCAATTACCCCCAAAATCAATTACAGCCTTCCCTTTGTGATATGGAACCTTGTGGTACAATGTCAGAGAGATCCATACACTTACACACAAGTTATTGTCTGGAAGTTACAAAAACGCTTATTTTTGGCCCCTTTTTGGCCCCTAATTCCTTAACTGGTGATACCATAACCCCCAAAATCAATCCCAACCTTCCTTTCGTGGTATTGAACCTTATGGTAAAATTTCATGGAGATCCATTCACTTAAACTAAAGTTAGAGTGCGAAAACCAATGTGTCTTCGGACGACGCCGGACGACGACGACGCCAACGTCATACCAATATACGACCAAAAAATTTTTAATTTTTGCGGTCGTATAAAAATAAATAATCTATTTAAAAAGTGATTTTGAAGATTAAGATTTTATTTCATATTTTCTTTCAACTTTGAACCACAATACACGGACATATTTGCAATTGCATCCGTATCTGATTCCTTCATTAAGTTAACTTTGTCATGTTTCTAGTTTGAGAAATTCAATGATATTTTGTCAATAAGCGGGTAAATAAAGGCAGATATGAATGAGCTTGGTCACTACTGTTGTTCCAAAATTAAACATATCAATTAGACAAAGCACCAAAATTACACACACGCCTTTCGAGAAAAAAACGCCAAAATATCCCGACGCCAAAATTTCCCAATTTACGGTATTTCCATGTCCCCCGCAACAAGTTACGCGGGGGACAAAAATGGTGTTAATACCTGTCTTTTATAGCCTTACTATGTGCATGATTTGGTCAATAACATAATCTGATAAATCTGCACTATTTAAGTGTGTATACTGTGTTCATACCAGATAATATAAGTAGGTGTAAGTATTCAGAAAACCTTTTAAATTGAACCCATCCCATTTTATCCCTGTACCAAGTCAGATACCTAACAAATACACGCCAAATGTCAGCCTATAGTGTACTGGTTATTTGTTTGCTGTTTTTTTTTTAATAGTTGTTGATGCTGATTAATTGGTGTTAAACATCCAGTGGCAATAATTACATGGATATCAGCATCAGGAGGAGAGCATGTTAATGTTTCATGAATACAAATCATGCTTTATAGTACATGACAGACAAAATGAGCTGGATATTTAACATATTTCACCAGGTAACAGTCAGCAGTAAAACATGTCTCTCTAGCAGGACAAACTATTTTGATTAGAGCTGATTAGTTTTTGTTCTTACTCCTAAATGCCTCAGGATTAGTGAGAAACAGAAAATACCAATTTTCAAGCCTTGGGTTTGAGCCAGTCTGCAGACTGAGCCAACAACCTCCTGCACTCTCGGTTTGCAAGCTACCACAAGACAACCCAAGTAGTTTCGTTTATGCAGTAATACTGTACTGTCCATATATTCTACATAATACATTTGCTTTTCTTCTGTAAACAACACAAACTCAATGCCTACACATGCATACACTTACCATCAATTGTTCCTTTCATTACAAATACTGCATTTACTTTTGGATTGTCAGCATCACCCTATAATGAGAAAGGATAACATACTGTGGATTCACATATGGTTACCAATGTCCATTTGTCATGGATTGAGGAACAATTATATTTTCCTTTTATTTAATTTCGTGGATTTGCCAATGTTTGCATACAAGCCTATATACAAAATGTGTACTTTGTTAAATTCGTGGTTAACCCACGAAATACAAGAAAATGTGTATCTTCAGACTATTAACGAATCCACAATTATTTTGGAAGTAAGAAGCCATACATTATCATGATTATGAACTGCTTAAGGAACAAAATTAGCTAAAACTATTTATAGGTTATGGAGCTCCTTTTCGAGATATTTAATTTTAAAAAAAGTGGTGGGAAAAGGCTGACTCAGACTTTTACCTTATATTTGCATTGGTATTATTTGGGTCTCAAATCGAAAGAAAAATAATTTAGAATCTGCTTAAATTTTGGTAAATGACCTTTTATGAGCTATTGAAGTCTTATATGAAAAGAAAAATGGGTGTTATGGGGCAAAATATTTTACCCTGTATTGTTGGAAAAAAAACAAGGAGTCTGAACATCTTACAAAATTTCCTAAACCTCACCTAAGTACATCCTTAAGCATGTCAGAGGGTGAATTTAGACTTGAAAAGCTTTCCCTAATAACATCGCCAGAGTTATATTCCTGCCCCCAGTTTTTAAATTTTAGTTCAAAAGGAATTTTAAGTTATAGGAATGTCAAGTTATAAATGTAATTAGGAGGTGGTTAAAATGGTTGTGAGTATTTATAAAAGATTAATTGGTAAGGGTATATTCCCCCCTTTTATTAGGAGCGCCACAATGAGATTGTTTCATGTCAAGAAAGATAACTCAATAAGTTTTAAAAATGAAAAAAAATTAAAAAAATTATGGTGGTGATAAAAAATAAGGTCTGAAACATACACACGTTTGGGGTCATATAAAATAAGACAAAATAAAAGTTAAATGTATAATATTTTTGTAATTGGAAATATTACAAAACTTTAATTCACTTCATTTTAACTAAAAGTGATCTCCATTATGTTTTCTATTTGAAATGATCAGAAATACACATCTAAATAAGTGCTATTCCATTAAAATGTATGTGGGAGGGTAGGAAGGGAAGTTTAATTATTGAATGTGGGTCATAGGTCTTTTTTCAGTATGTGTCTATTACCGATTACCATTATGCAAAATTGAAATATGTCCACTATTGCATGTAATTACCTTGGTTATTGTTCCAGATTAGACAGGTAAACTTATAACAGTGACCAAGTGTTCTGATTAACTGGATTATCTTGTGAGTTTACATACATTTACATTATATTGTTCATGTTGTTAACCTATATGCTTTTGGGACTTTAGTTATACCAGGATTGTATTTTTTTTATATATAATAGATTGGATTGTTCCAAATACTAGTATATTGACACAAGGTTCTGACAGTCCCACATTATCTTGAAAATGTTTCTGAACTGTTTTGTTTAAAAGGCATAAGTGGCAATCTAACTTAATTATATTGAAATAACTAGTATAATCTCTTAAATAAAAGTTGAAATAACTGTGTCTTTATCAACTATGAAACAGTCAACTAGAACAGTACATGTTCATCTGTAATTACACACAGGGCATTGGTTCTTTAGATAACTGTACAAAGGAGGAAATGATTCACCAGATACATGTTTGTAGTATGTACAACTACAACTCTTACCTGTGGCACCAAAACCATCGGAAGCAGCAGTACAGTGTAATATTAAGATGTGCAGTAAAACTTGATGTGTATAAGTGGTCATATGACATTGATAATGCACATTGTATAGTGAAATGTCTTAAGATCATGTATTGCTGATCATTTAAGGTGGTACCTAACACTACAGGGAGATAACTCTGTAAAAATCAGCTAAACGTTTTAATCACGTTGTATTGTTAAGGAAATATTACACTTCTCAATGATCAAAATTAGTGTTTGTCAAACTGCTATATAACCAACGAAATTTTTCTGATAAAGTGGTTGGTTCAAATTCTTTGAAATTTTTATATTTTTGTCAAAGGGTCAAAGTAAACATTATGTCAAAATTTTATGAAAATTAAAACGAGCCAAATTAATTTTAGTCAAGGTGTTGGGTACCACCTTAAAGTTATAGTTTCGTTAATTTTTGATCGACTAAAACAGTTAAAATTAGAAATGTTTTTGCATAAACAAGTGTTACGCAGATAATGAACATAAAACTGGAAAAGACATCAATCAAATTGTTTATCTAAGTTCCATATTTGCTTGTAATTTTTGTGTCTGCGTAATTGAACATTAGTCAATAAATTATCACATTTTGACTGACTATTGCATCCAAGAAGCTCATTACAAGGAGTACAAATGTATGAAGAATTTTTTTTCATCATACCTTAATAAAGTCTAAGCTTATTTTCTGATCAATGATTGTTGATGTTTCACCATTAACTTTCAGCTTCCCACTTCTAACTGAAAAAGGAATGATTTCATCGTGTGCAACCCCTCGTCCAACTTTGGAAAATATGTCCAACTCATGTACAACAGTGTGTTCTCCGTTCAATGCTACATCAAAAACCTAAAAAAAAAAATTCTACATATCATGTATATCATAATATCAATCTCCATTTCTTTGTCTATAACCATGATAATATTAAGTACAAGAATCATAATTTAATTGGATATTAAAAACTTAATTGAAGGTGCACTCTGAATTTTATTGTATCTCATCTAAGTGCCCTACTACATTCTTCTATGATTGAGTAATTAAATTTAGTGTCCTTATTTTGACCACAGATTTGCTTAAAGTACATGAAGTATGTCAAGGTCAGTTAATTGAATTTAATGCATGAACATGAGGAAAAGAGGCCAACATAATTTGGACACTTTAATGGATGCAATTGACAGCTGGGGTGTCAAATACATGTATAATGTAAATTTTAAACTTCTGTGCATCAATCATGTCAATGTATTTTAAGAAGTCTGAAACATACATTGTACATTTTTACATGTATCATTTTTATTAGAGATTCAATCCCTAGCTATAGCTTAACATGCTTAAGTTTATTTAAAAATTTTTGTCATGAAAAAAAAACCTCATCAAAGATAACAGGCCTACAATTTTCATGATTTTGTACATGCAAGATGCACTTTTAACCTACAAAAGACTCAACAGTGATGGTCAAATAAAACAAATGAAAGGCCAAATCAAGTACAAAGTTGAATAACAATTTATTATTTTAGATAATGTTAAATTGAAAGCGAATTTTTTAAAATATGTTTCTACTTTGATTCTGTTTATTTACTCATGATCAAAATATACTGGGTATTTTAACAAATGTCTTCACAACTTTAAATCATCTACATGTATGATCAAATTACAGACATAACATTAATGGGTTGATGGTATAGATGACAATTAAACTATGAATATCAACAACATGAACAAAGAAATGTTATAATTCATCAGTTTTATATGCCTGTACATGCTGTACCAAGTCAGGAATATGTCAGTTGTTTTTCACTTGATCCATTGATTGATAGCTTTAGGTTTTGTCAGTTTTTATTGACTTTCCATTTTTTAATTTTGTTAAACTTTTTTTAATATAACAATGAGGACGTGGACTTTGATGTTCAGTAATCAATACTGTCACCTGTTGTCAGTTATGCATTTTTTCTATTTCTTATTGGTGATAAGAAGCATGCTGTGATCATGATGATTATGCTACAGATGGTGTGAAACACAAGGATGCCAATAAATTGACTGGAAACAAGATTATATGTACATTGTATAAACCAAAAATAATTCATATTTTAGGTTACAAAGCAACAGTTCATTATTTAGAATATAGTAATGTCCAGAAACCGCACAAGGATTCTGATTTCTCATATTGTTAAACACCACACAAAGCCCTTTTTAAATATAATCATATCCTTCAGTACCCCTTTTCTATTTCAGTTCAATGCACTATGCAAGTAGCTCTTTTTTTATTCAGTTTACAGGTTAATACAGTACAAATTAATATTAAAACAACACAAGCTTTCCAACACATAAAGTATGAGTTTCCTCATTGTTGAAGGCCATACCTTGACCTGTTGTTGTTTAAATCATTTTCCTTAGGTCTTGTCTCCTTATATCATGTATATTCATATAATTTTTTTAGTGCAATTGTTTCAAAACAAGTCCAATTTTATCACATTAAATAGTCCAGGAATCTTCATGACCTGTTTTCTGATGGTGTGTCGACACTGTTAAATCATCTTCCAACATCATCAAATAATCACCGCCATATATATTTAAATAAGTACAACAAATGTGCACAATGGTTGGAAATGTAGTCAAAATTTGTTTTCGTTTCACTATCAACCACTATTTTTGTCAGCAATTATACTTGATTTCCTGTACATTTATAATTGCACAACCCCTATTGTATTACAAAGGGTTTCTCCTCATTACTGTTTTAAAACCCTGAACGCTCTTTAATCACTTTCGACGCTCCTGATGGAAGAAAACATTGGTCAAGTTCAGACGATTAACTGCATTATTCAATCAATCTACAACCCTCTTTTTAAACGAGTATAAAATTACTCTTATAAATAAAAAACGGAAAATAATTTCATGCCAAATAACATGAAGACAGCACAAGTGTAAAGAGTAAATACAGCAGTGTTCTCCCCAGAAATTGTTGAAGGCGCAAAAGTTTGTAGCATGTAACCCTTTTTTTGGAGTGAACTATTGTGACATGAAACAATCCTTCAGAAATGCAATATGAATTTAAAAGCTTTATGACATGCTACATGTAGGTGCTTAATTATATACACTATTTTTAAATTATTATAAAATAAAATATAATCAATTTGCACACATATAAAACACATTGATCATGTTGATATCACAGTCCATTTATAGAGTTAAATTCAATTTAGGAGTCCAAATTTAGTAATTTGAAGAGAATATTCTCCTGTTCCTTTGAGCCTTCCAGTGCTGAACATAAATTTTCCATGTCTGGTGCAACTGCTTCTTCTAAAGATATTGTATCATTAAGCAGTTTGTAATTTTTGGAATACAACTTTTTAAAACAAATGAATTATAATGAACAGCTGACCAATTTTCCGCAGTTTGACATTTCGAGATCGTTTATGTGCGTATTTGGCACAATATGTTCTTTGCCCGATAGAAACCTGATAAATTCTTCAAAGTATAGTCCAACAAAATTATTTACTAGTTACATTATACATACATGACATATATGCTTTTGTGTTTCCAGAACCAACTTTTGATGAGTTGTTTATGAATTGTTTATTGTCAAAGTTTTCCGGACTCAGGTGCAAGGACGAAACACCAACGTTAAAGTTCTGATTTTTTTAAAACATGAATATTAAAGACAATTTTATTTGCTAAGAACAAAAGTTCACATTCTGACCATAACTATCAATTTGCATTTTCAATTTATCATAAATATTAGTTTTTTGACCTTTTTTACGTAAAATGACTTCCATTGATAAATATTTGTAGTTGTGTATTGCAAAGTTACCACACGTTTTCATCATGTTCATAGGTTGTATTAAAATAGATTTTATTATTGACCAATGAGAAAATTCAATATTTAATTCGGGAATTAATCAGGAAAGCCATGCATAAAAACGGTTTGCAATTGTATTTCGATCTTTTCCATTAATTCCAATCCTGAAACACTGAAAAAGTATCCAAGGAAAATATTTATCTATTTGATGATCATTTATGCAATTATGTGATCTGATAAGGCAAATACAGGTAAAGGATAGACTAGAGTCGATCAATAATTGCGTACTTTAGTGTAATATTGACTTTCTTCTCAGCAGCGATCTTTAACTTTAAAAAAGTTATCAACAGTTCATACACTAATTAAATATGAAAATTAACACGCTGCTGGATTATCTTTAAATAACTGCCTGCCAATGTAAGTGCTGCAGGGACAACTATAATATTTGGACGGCGGGACCGCAGCATCATATCGGCCTAGGGAGAACACTGTACATGAACACTAACTGTGAATTTACAATGAAGATTAGGAATGCATTTTTTTTCGATCAAGACACCTTTGGTTTTGTCTGGGTAAAAGTTTGTCATTGGTTAAATTTGTATCCATGGATATACCTAATAGTTGTCCGTCTTCAAGGACCAGTGGCTATGCAACAACTGCCTCAAAATCAGATTAAATGTCCATGTACAAATTTGTATGTCATGTATCAGTAATTTTACATTAATTCACTATTGTGAAGAATGTTTTAATAATGAAATACCTTTTTGTTTGGAGATGTAAACCAGACTTCACAAAATTTCAAAACCAAGGTAAAATCACCACTTCCTTTTATTGGAATTTCATATCCAAAATTTGACATGTGATATCGCTCTGTTTGATATAAAATTTGATCTTGGGGGTTTACACGGCCTATCATCAATGTTTTGCCATAATCTGAGGATATGCCAACTTTGTCTTGCTCCAGTGGATCAGCTTCATAAACAATACCGTGAACATCAGTGTGAGCTTCACCTCCTGCATTCACAGCCCATATGACCTCACCAATCCCAATAGATTGTGAAATTAATGCAAACAGTGTTAGAAATATTGTCAACGATTTAGAATTTTTGCCTAAGGATCTTTTTAAGGATGCCATTCCACGCAAAAGAAGTGAAAACATCTTTTGGCTGTGGCAAACGTGTGGTTTCCAAATCCCGGTGCTTTCAGGAAGTTGATAACGGTGATGCCCTCTGTCGTCAAGAAACAACTTCCGGTGACAGCTGGATTTACATGATTGGATCGCCACATATTTAAAAGCGGGAAATTTAAACACAGTTATGGTACCGAGTTTAATTGTTAAAGTGAAAAATTCAAGTAACCTTAATTTTTTTCATTCAGTGAATAACTGACCGCCACGAAATAGCACAATAGGGCTTTTTAATAACACCGATCATTCAATCAATCAACTGGACTCCAATTTCTAAGTGATTACCCGGTGAGGCATTATCTGGGACTATTATACGTTAGTATATAGTCAAGGCATTATCTAATATCATGGCCTCGATAAAGACTGCATTTATACTTATTTTTATGAAAGCTTTTGGTAAATTCCCCATTAAACATTAATCAATGAAACTAAAGCTTTGGAATTGAAGACCCGTGACATATTAGCCTGATCATATCCAGAAATCAACGCCACTTTGCTTATTTGAATATTATACTAAAGAAATCGGATACGGGTCACGGAAATTATATTGAAATGATAGGGAATTTTGAAAAAAAATGTCTGTTTTAACTTTAATTTAAGTGATAGACAGGTTGCGGGGACAGAAAATAAATATACACAACAATATACACCATTTAAACGAAACATAATGACTGTCGTTGCAAAAATCAAGGTTCCTGAGCTATTTTAAAAATCGAAGCGAGAGGCTTTTAACATTGCAGTATAAAATACAGGCTAAAATGGCTGAAACGTCAAATTCGCAAACTTCGTGTTGAAAATTGACTAACAAGGTCATTACAAAAACAGGTTGCGGGGATGAAACTTGAAACTTGAATGTCCAAAGAATAAGCAAGCCCAAACCTTGTATGTGTAGTCCTTGAACTCTAGGTTCCCACGTAAAGTTAAAATGCCCCTATTTCAAGAAGAATAAACTCACGAAAACACGAAAAACTCACTTAATTCGCGTTCATTGTTTTGATTTTGACCGCCTGACAACTTTACGGAAATATCACGAGAATAAAAGCTTATGTGAAGGGTTACTGCCAGTCACCCAACGTCAAAACCGTAGCACTACGAATACTGTATACGCAAGTTAATGTAGTCCCAACCAAAAAGGTAGAACTAAATACATATAGGGAAACATTGTAATTGAGCATTCATTTGCCATTGAAGTGCAATCTTTCTTGGTTATCAAATTAAATAGAATAGCCTGTGATTTACAAGTAAGATTAATTCAGATTAAAATCGACGATGTTATTACATGCAACGTGACTCAGTTGTTGCTAAACATCCAAATTCAGTCTCTATAATATGCATTTTGTGTCCTTTAATTTTAACTAAAGGTTTCAGGTATTCCGTTTTCATCTTTTGATTATCCTCTTTGTATTACGTTGAAAATTGCTGTTTATAGGAAATATTTAAAATAACCATTAACAATCATATCAGGCAAAATGGTAGGTGACTGCAGGTCACTTTTAAAATGCTGTAGATCTATTCGCGTAGGGTATATGGATTTACAATTATTCATATGAGTGTCAATTAAGGAGGAAATCGAAAGGCAAGACCTCGGGCCTGATTTTCGAAAGTATCTTATGGTTTTAGGACATTTCATAGTCGTAAGATATGTATTCGAAAGGGTCTTAAGTTATGATATGTCATAACTTTTATCGTACACTTAAGACACCTCGTGACATGACTTATGATGGTCTTATGATTGTCATAAATGTTACGACATCACATATTTGTTTCTAAGGTATAAGTGTCATTTACTGCATCTTTATTTGCTCATGTAATATGCACATCCGGGATTTTGAAAAAAGGGAGGCACAAACTAGGCAACGTTTGGAGTGGCATATGCTAAAAGTCTATACGTAAACCATATATGTAGCTCCATAGGGGGCGATGCCCTGCCTCACCTACTAAATCCGTTTCTGCATGCAGCCTCCCTTGCTCTCTTTTTGGCACTGTTTGTTGTGTTGTTTAATCTGATAAACAGTAAAGATTTATTCTTTTCCACTTCGTCATTCAAAATTTGGAATATCCTTCGACGTAAAATTTGGAATCCTTTTCATAGTAATGATTATGTTTAATAAAAATTTATAATATTTCTCTCTTTATACAGTCGTTCATTAACGTATTTGCACGGGCATTTCTTTAAGCGGGTACTCGATGACCCATATCTTAAAGGTATTCCAAATTAGACAACACTTCATTATAATAATACACGAACGCGAAGTTCTAACTAAATTTAAACAAATTATCAACTCAGATTATAACTCGTTTTCATATATACTTTCGTGTTCATCGTGTTCATTATAATGCAAAATATGAAATATTCGTATAAGATCAGAACAGCAATAGTTTTTTATACTTTTCATATTCATATATTTTCTCTTTTGACTGTCATAATAGTGGGACATGTATGTGTTCACGTGTGGAATTAACTGGTGGCATCAATACTCTTTCAAGTAGTCATGCAAAGAAATTTCCTCCGTTGTAATTTTGAAAACATCCCATGGAGCAAATTACACAGATAATTTATATTGACCATTTGGTACATGGCAGGGGTCTACGCGACATGCATATGCAAGCCATAAATTAATTTGTTGTATATTTAACTACTATTGGGTGTCGTAGAATGTCCAACAAGGTTTAGTTGAACTGTATGTGGCATGACTAGTACTGCGAGATGTCAGGTCTTTTATTTCTTAGTTAATAATTAGGTCTTTCCACTTTTCTGTGGAAAGACCTATTGTATTTGTTCTGATTATTATTATTATTTTTTTTTTTTTTTTTTCTTCCGCCAAATTTTGTTCTTGCGATAAATGTTTGTTTCGCAATATGTCGCTTAGATATTTCTCATATTGTATCGTATAGTTAATGCGCTTTTAAATTTCACCCTGCTAAGCCGAACCATTTTCTTTGTAAGAGTTATCTCCCTATTCACTGTTTATCATCTGTGTGCATCTCCTTCGTAACAAAAAAAGATATCGACAAAATTCTTTTTACAAATTGTTCGTTACATCCTCAGGAATTTTTGGCTAATTTGGATCAAAGCGATTCGATGAAATTTTATAGGAGTTATCTACCTTTATCAAATAAATTTGTCGTTATGTTTTTGTTACTCATAAATTGTAAGCCGTATAAACTTAACGTCTTTTTATTTAAGGTTCTTGGATCCTAACTTCGAAAATGAGGTCAAGGTCAAAGGTCAAGGTCATGTTCTGAATTTTGTCTTTTGCTTGTTTTTGCATTTTCTCCGATATTTTTAATGTAATATATTAAAGAACAAGTGCAAAATGTTTGTTATATTGTGATGAAGATATGATAAATTTGGTCTGAGACAATCCAGCGACATCTTATTGGAGTTATTGCCCCTGAAATGTTTTATTTTAAGGTAAATTGATTATTACTTCATATTGGTACATGATAAAGCCATAAGATCTTTTGCAAAATGTTGGGTGACATATGACCAGAGACATATATACACAGAGATTGGCAACTGTAACAGTGGTCAGCGAAATCCAATTAAAAACACGCATCACACGAGACTTTAACGAGATCGCCATTTTGCATCTGATCATGACAAGTTCACCACCGCTTCGATTTTTATTTTACATCAAGCTTTTCAAAACAGCTTAATGTAAGTATATATTTCAATTTCGTAAATTATTTACCTTGTTTTATTCAGTTTGTAGTAATTGTTAGTTAAAATATTGTGACGATTAACGTTTTATTGTGGTCAATAATAAGGGGAAAGCTTGGCCGACATGGACGTTATGAAAATTTTTTACACGGACGTATTTTTTATTAAAACCTTTTCATTCGAAAAGGAATAAAACAATTTATGAGATGAATCACTTTTCCCAAGACATACTGGTTTTGTGTAAATATGTTGAATTTTTCATTTAATCACCCACTTTGATGCAATTTACAATTAAAATTCAGTATTCTCGCTGTCGTCCACGTTCAATTTTTAAAATATAAAGACAGGCCCCTGTCCATGTCTACAGTCAATAAACTTTTCCATCTTTAGAGAATAATTATTCCCAGCACATGAATTACTTTCTTATGACATACTGGATTTGTGTATAACAGTTGTTTTGTCCATATTTTCACCATCTTTGATGCAATTTACAATTAAAAATGACCATTCAAGCTGTCGGCTATTTTCATTCTCTTCAATATAAAGACAGGCCCCTGTCCATATGTCTACAGTCAATAAACTTTTCCATCTTTAGAGAATAATTATTCCCAGCACATGAATTACTTTCTTATGACATACTTGATTTGTGTATAACAGTTGTTTTTTACATATTTTCAACCACTTTGCTGCAATTTACAATTAAAAATGACCATTCAAGCTGTCGGCCATTTTCATTCTCTTCAATATAAAGACAGCCCCCTGTCCATGTCTACAGTCAATAAACATTTCCATCTTTAGAGAATAATTATTCCCAGCACATGAATTACTTTCTTATGACATACTGGATTTGTGTATAACAGTTGTTTTTTCCATATTTTCACCAGCTTTGATGCAATTTACAATTAAAAATGACCATTCAAGCTGTCGGCCATTTTCATTCTCTTCAATATAAAGACAGGCACCTGTCCATGGCTACAGTTTATAAAATTGTCCATCTTTAAAGAACAAATGTACCCATCACCATTGATCACAGGAATTACTTTCCCAAGACATACCGGTTTTGTGTATATAAATTGTTTTTTTCATTATTTCCACCACTTTGATGACATTTACAAGTTTATATACATGTATATTTACATTCAGTATCTGACAGCATTTTTTTTTAACAGGATCCTGCATGTTATAAAAGAACAAAGATGTTGATCAAATTTACCTAACAGTGCAGCATACAAGAGATGTAATATCATACATGTGCTGAATGTAGGACTCCCTAGCCTTTCTGATTGAGAAAAAGATTCCCTGGCAGACAGGAACAACTATTAGTGATGACTTTTTTCAAATGTTACTGCACAGTCATGTAGTGG